GGGCTGGTGCTATGGAGATGAAGTGATCGTCATCCGAGTGAACCAGAATGAGGACGTCACGGCGATTGATATTTCGCATCTAACCGCACTGAACACACTACAGAATGTCACAGCACTGGATTTAATCAACGTCCCCTCCTACACTCCAGTGGGCTCCAACGACGTCCATTGCAGCGTGAACGTCTACGACGTTAACGCCGCCTTTTTCAGCTCCTACTTGTGGGGCCTGCTCCCACTAGCTAACGAAGCTACCATTATCGCCAAGGTTGCTCCTTTTGGTGCCTCACGCTGCGAGAACATATATTTGCAAGGCAGCTCTCTCTATTGTTTATGGAAAGGTGGGCCTTTGTGACATTTCGTGAGACCTTTCTAGCCAAAACCACTGCAATGTCACAACTACAAGAAAATAGGTTACGTCAGAACCATATGTGAAAATAGACAAGTGTGTTCTTGTTGCGCTGATGCCCATTGCTCCGGCACTTGTACATCCAATTTCCTGACATGTTCAAATTGTAATGCACCCCCCGCAGCTTCCTCAATAGAGTGCCGAAGAATGAAGAGGGAAATTGTTGTGTTGAAACGAATAGCATGGGGCCGCAAGGCGGCCAAATCCGTCAAAAAGCAGCGATATCGCCACCGAATTTTATCCAAGAAAACCAATGCCTCGGCATCTACAGCGCCCCTGGCTTCACTGACTGCCTTGTCAACCGGACCGTTCATGGCTAGTAGGAATTCTACTTGGCGTATACATTACTGAAGCCACGATTCCATGGATGGGTAACGGCCGGAGTAAATGAGAACGCCAAGGAAGGCGTAGACACATCTGACGAAGCTTGGCCTTCGTTTCTGAAGTATCAGCTACCTACATGCAGAGTGACAGTGCACACGGACAATACTGAACACTAAATTAATGACTTTCCAGTAGCCTGAAGAAGGCAAAGCAAGCGTCATAGTTCTTCAATCACTCATACACTTCACATGTTCGTCGGCAAGCTCAAATCACCGTACGCTCATTCCGTACAACAGGCGTCAGGTGATCTATGTCTAATGCTCGAAAGCCTTCAGTAAGCTTCATTACTCGTCTACCTACAGTGCGACGTGGTGCGCCTGAGATCCTGCGTTGAATACTATGGAAAACAGCAGCGTTTTTGTGCGCTCCTTTTTTACAGCGAAAGCTGTTATGAGATCACAACTCAAGTCACGCGCCACCGTAGCTGTCCGCCGCCGCCACTGCCATCGTTGTCCGTAACCACACCACACCAAATTAGAAGAAAAGTAACTTATCTCCAATGACACATTGGGGCTCGAGCCCGGGTCTGCTGGGTGCCAGCCGAGTGTTCTACCACTGATCTACGCCTATGCTTGGGATTTGTTGGCTAACTTGCCTTAGGCAGGCTTGATGTCCCGAAATCAATCGCGTTAATACGACTTATAGCGCGTTTTAAAACAGCGAAAGAACAACCTGTTGTCGCTCAGTGCGAATAGCATAACGACTGGGTCGTCCACTGCTCCGATCCATTACAAAAGTTGTTCTCGCTCACCTATTAACTGTGGCGCATATTCACTTCAGGCATAATTTCTCATCGCCGTCAGCCACTGCAGGAACAATTGGCTCAACATTCCTTGCAAGTGTTTATCGGATACCACACTTCTAAGAAGAATGATGAAAAATGAAAAATAGCATAGCGAATACCGGCCTTCTACCAAAAAGTTTTAATAACAATGTCATAATGGGTATCAAGCATAAGAGCTTGCAGCAGTTACCCAATGAGTGTTTAGAAAACGCTCTGAAATGCCACTCTTCTAGCTTTCGCTGTGACTGTGCTGCACCTTACGCGCAGGCCTGGCGTTTTCTATATCCCTGCCTTTTAGTCCCTTATTCCCCTTCCTTAAGCATAAGGTAGCAGAGGGGACGCGCGTCTGGTTGACCTTCGTGCCTTTCCTTCCTCTTCCTTCCTTCCTTCCTTCCTTCCTTCCTGATTGATTAGGTCTATCTTATTAGCACTGTGAGGTTGCGTAGTCCAAAATTTTTCTCGGGGGTAGGGGGGCAGAGTTAATCATATTTCATTCTGTTCGCGCGTACATTTGTATGTCACTGATTATGGTTATACATATCCAAAACTGAAAAACTTCGCGGTAGTTTGCCTTCCTTCATTCTCACCTCGCTACGCTAGTGTCATTATGCGTATTTTCTTAAGAACATTTCATTCGTTTGAAAATGCTTGCTTAAGAGATCACCCCTTCCTTATTAGTAGAGCTGCTTAATTAAGCCGAAACTAATCGTGTCGGCGTTTAGCTCATAGGGCTTGCAATGACCCGAAAGCTTTAATGAGATACACAATTTTCAGTTAATTCAACTTAGAATTTATGTCACAACGCAAACATAAATCATGGAACAAATAAGTTCCTCGACATGGGGACATACATTCAAAACTTTAGTATCAAAACATTCTCGTGCTTCTCAAGCATAGTGTGCTGAGTGCCACATGGCGACGTTATGATGATAACTTTCTGGGAATGTAAAACATAAATGCAAGTCTTATGGCATAAAAACATAAATGATCTTTGGCAATATTACGTCTGAAGACTTTGACTAAGATGCTCTCTTTCATATTTATTTTTTGTAATATCTCTATAAAAAAATTGATTAATTATGCTAATAATTGTTTAGAGACGCTTGTTAAACTTTCACACCGTAGTTTCAAACACTGTCTAGTCTACTGCTTCTGCTTTAATATTGTTCACTACAAAAGCATGATAGGTATGAGTGAAAAGTACCATAAAGTAAACGAGCACAGGTAGAACACAATGCGGAAGAAGGAAACGGTGTTCCTATTCTGATTCCTAACCCACCTCGGCGGTCCAGTGGCTAAGACACTTAGCTGGTGACCCGCAGGTCGGGGAATTGAAACCCAGCCATGGCAGCCGCAATTTCGATGGAGGCGAAAATGCTTGAGGCCCGTGTACTTATTTTTAGCTGCGAGTTAAACAACCCCAGGTGGTCGCAATTTCTGAAACCCTCCAATGAAGATTTTCAAAGGGGTGCGGAACAATACGGCGTCTCTCATAATCATATCATGGTTTTTGGACGTAAAACCCAAAAGGATATTGTGATTTCCTGTTTCATTGTTATTCGTGATTTCAGGATGTAGGATACACGCATTCTGTTGCTTTTATTGAGAAAAAATGGCAAACTGAAAGCTCAAATAGAAAAGATATTCAAACGCACGAAAGACACGCACATAATATGTAATTCTAGGTACACTAGTACAAACAGAAATCAACCATTATTCGTTTTATATGCATTGATAGCGCGGGTGAATATATTGGTAATGAAGTGTTCATATTGTGTCTCACATTTTTTTTATTCAACAGAAATCTCAAAAGCATCAAGTATGCTTTGCAGTGGTATTTTTGTCACGTTCAGAGTGCTGAGAGTCCGCGGGTCCAACGATGGTGAAACACCTTTACTTTTGTTCTCGTGAAATCGTGTGGCAGAAATTTTCTTTATTTGGGAATATTTCGGACGGAGAGTGAGTATTAAAAGGGGAAGCTATAGGCAGAACATTCTCCACCTTACTTGGGCCTTCACATCCATACATTGCTATCGAGAGCAGGGTACAATGTGCACATCACGAAAAATCTAGACTAGCAAGCAAATTTGCTCAACATAAACCCCGAATACGGCACACACTTTTTTGCATTCTCATATCTGCTCTCACCTATTTGAATCAAGCAATAAGTGGATGAAATGCGGGCGCATGTCTGAAGTTAAAATCAGTCAGTAAAGTTGGAAAAATCGAATGGTTCCTGCCTAAGACAACTTGAAGGCGAGAGTCGTAATTTCCTTCGCCATTATCCAACCAGAATATTGTCCGTTCCTAACGTGGTTTTGTGCTGCCTCTGGGATAAGCCTAAGTAAACAGCTCGTATTCATGTATGTGTGTAGTGCGTTTATATGCATTTACGAATGTACTTCCGGGGAAGTACGTGCGTTACATGAGATTTTCATCACCCCGCAAACAGGGCCAGCAACATTGTTTGTGAGGCACCCTGAAACTCCTGCATGCGATTCCGGAGCGCGTGGCACCCAGGAGGAAATGCAACTTGCAGTAGTATCGTTCACGCGTTATCATGTTCTGTTTTGTTCACACCAGTTCAGATCAATTTATTGTAGGCCAATCTGCCACTAGTGGGCTTCGGTGGGCTTTGCATTGGGTCGTTGTTCACGCAGTGGACAATTCGCATGGATGTCCCGGCGCGCTTTATACGACGAAAGGGGAGGCATTCCGAGTCATTGGCCCCGACTGATTACGGGCGCCCTTTCTTCACGGACAGGCTTAAACGGCGGCCACGTAAACTTTGCACCTTCAGCATGAGACGAGTCGATGTGCTTGCTAGGTGTTTACATTGGCAGCCACAGATATATTCGCATCTGCAGTCAGTGGGCTTATTAAGTTCCGTCGACAAATGCTGTTATTTCTGAGGCGCTATGTCATATTGCAGCCGTTATATCAAAGCGCCAGTGCTTGTCTTTTCTCCTCGTAGTTCACCCTGAGTACGCGCCGAAGTCTTTCCCCCAGAATTTTAGTATTAGAGCTGCTCAATCATTGTTCTCTCCGGCGAAAATAAACGGCCTTCAGTCATCCGTACATATTGCTCTTCAGTGCTATGAATTTAACCTCATCATAACCGCTTCTTGGCTTTTTTGCGCTTGCTGCACCACGTGGTTTTGCACTCGCAGAAACTCGATATGCGGCGACGCTGATGGCTGCCCCTTACAAGACAGTATGTGCCTGTTTTGTGTGTCCTTCCGTAACACTACACTACTCCATTCACAGCTGTAGCATTGAATAATGGCTCGCACCTTCCCCTATAATTTATTAGCACTGTCGTAGTCAGCGCCACACACTTTGTCTTCTCGAATCAGCAATGTCGAGCATTAACCAATACTTGCGACGGTTTTCCCGCGGACGTAACGGCGAGAAATTCGCGCTCACCTGGAGACGAAGACGCCATGTAGAGTGTTGTTGTCGACCGTGGACAAGAAGCGTCGAGTGTCCCGTCTCCACTGAGCGAGCGGATAACAAAAGTGGTAGATAAGCTGGAGGGCGGTGCGATCGCCGCAAACTCTTGTCTGGAGCCGCGTGGAAAGCACGCACACTGCATATGCATGCGCGACCGATTCGCATTCGCGGTCTGACTCCAAGTACGCGTGCGCTCTTTCGAAACAGCCATTCAACGCCTACGATAACGGGGAGACGTGTTACACCGTGAATCCAAGCAAGCTGGCAAAATGAGGGATGATTTCTTGCATGGTACGCTAGTGATACGGCTTAGCCACGCTGATATATGTTCATGTCACTTCTCCACAACTCTCGTCTTTTGTACGTATGCTCGATACGCGCTGAATCAATTCTCATTTAACCAACAGTTTTTCATGCTGCCCGAGTCACTTCGCTGGCCGCCAGTCCGCCGAATGATACGCGGTGTAAGAAATGATGAGCTGGGAACATCACGCTTGAGCCCTCGCAGAACGGCATGAATTTTCTGTAAACATCAAAAAGCAGCAATGGAGATTTCAAACAGTCATTTGTCTTGAGTGCTTGTCAGGTTAGCAGGAATCATTAATCTGAGAGTTCCACTTTAGAGCAAGGGAACCCCTTAGAAAAGTATATTCTGCTACGAATACATCATTGTTTAGTTGTTTAGTTGTACATAGTTGTTTGAAAACATGGTTGTTTAGGTGCGGCAATGAAGTTCCTCGAAGTATAAGTTAAAAAAAAATACTGAATACCAGTTCGTATACGTGGGAGAGCTGGGTCGTGATACTGAAAAGCGGAAAGTTCAAATTACGACTTCAACGTGAGAAAGGGGAGAAGCAAAAAATTCTTATCGTAATATGTATTAATGAGAACTAACAGGCAATAGTGCCAAGACAAGTATGTTAGCAGCAATTGTAAAGTAAATGTGAAGAACAAAAGTGTAAGAAAAGGAAACTTGCCACCGGAAGGATCCGTACCTGCAGCGGCTTTCGAATGACGCCTGCGACGCTCTACCACTGAGCTTCGGTGGCGGTCATCTCCCCGTCCACCACAGAGTGTGTACGTGTGCGTTTAAACTATAGTGTACTAAAATATGGGGTAGTGTGTTCAGGGAGGAACCGTAGCTGAAGCATTTGGTATCGACAACCGCAAGATAGAGCCACCTTAGCATGGGCTGTCACCTCACGCTTTGCCTTTTATGCACTTCTGTGCTTCGATATTAGCAATAACAGGGGTTTAACACCCCAAAACCACCATACGATTATGAGAGACGCCGTAGAGGAGTGCTCCAGAAATTCGACAACCTGGGGTGCTTTAACGTGCACCTAAATCTAGGTACACGCACCTCAGTATTTGCGCCTCCGCCGAAAATGCAGTCGCCGCGGCCGGGATTCGATCCCGTGATATGCGCTTGCATACGTGATTGCTGACACATGCGCGAAAAGCTTTCTAATGAGTTTGTTTGTACTGCATTCTAAACTAAACGAAATGCCAAAGCCACAACACATGATCCAAATTCAGGTATTAACCAACGATGGCGAAGCACTCATCCCTGGGGAAACTGCCTGCAGTTTTTAAAGCTCGTTTGGTGAACGAATAAAAAAGTATGAAGATTGGGGTATCAAAGGAGCATCTATAAACCCGAAAGTTTCTCGTTATATCACTGCTATATCGAGTCGTAGTCTGCACACTGCGACAGCTTCGTCTTCCTTCGTTACGCGCGCGGCCCCATTCTTGTCGATAGTTGCATCATGTAATTTTAATTGTGTTGCTAAGGTGCTAAAGCTGCCATTTGATTGAGAGGCACGCCAAATCTGAAGAGTTGGGAATAATTTTGACAATCGTGGGTCTTTAAACGAATACGCGGCCGCCGAAACACTGCTGCTGTGGCCGAGATATTGCACCGTACAGTCAAAGGGAAACATCACTTGGCACCCCTGTCAGATTTTAAGAAGAATTTATTTACGAGCGCACATACTGCAGTGAGCAGTAACACTGAATAAATTCGTAGCCATTCCGTGGAATTATCAGTTCACGATCACTTGATCACGGTGGCAACTTCATGAATACCGACTAATTTTCGCGTGCAGCTTTTTTTTTTTTCGTTTTGCCTCTCGAGACTGGTTGATACCCTTCACGAAAAAAAAAATGAAGTCATGACAGCACGTAAATTACCGCTCTCTTTGACACAAGATGCGGTGTGATCGAGCTCATATATATTCAAAGTAAAGAAAGCTTGAGTAAGCGTTCCAGCGAAGCTGCAGTCCTTGTAGTGTTTGCAACCTCGAGTTCGTAGTCAGCAAGAAGCTCCATCGATGAACCTGAATCATGCAGTGGCCTCACCGCGAACACATGGTGCTGCAGTTTTCTTGGAGATGGTGGATTGGGCGCCGAGTTCTTCCACTTTCTCGGAGGTCTTAGATGCGGCGCTTTCTTCGATAAGTATCTTGGAGAGTTGGGCGGTAACACTAGCACGGCATCCGGTGTTAGCTCTGGTCTCCTACGTGGTACGCGAACTTCTTCGCCGTTTATAACGTGCACGTAGTCTCCGAGAACACATGAAAACTCGAAGTGTAGCTCACATACAGAGCCGGTTTCGTTCAAGGTCCCATCCTGTCGATGTAAATTCTGTTCCCAAATCTTCCTCCGTGCTTCGTCTTTGGGTGCAGCGAAAAGTGACGGACCCTCATCTTTTACATGTGAAGCATGTTATACTAGGGTATGGTTGCTAGAAAGGGGAGGTGGGAGCATCGCGCGCTGCGGAGATTGGCGGAGAGGGTGTCAGTTGTTTATGCCGACGAGTGGTGGCGCGCGTGTCGTTTTTTAGATGCCCCTCTGGGCCGAAGCGGAGCACGTGCGTTTCCGCGGCTTGCGTTCGTACTGTTCGCACGATGCTCGAAGTTTTGAAGCCTCTTCACACCGCATATCGTGATGGCTAAACCAGTGAAGCGCCAGACTCACTGCTTCGCGCCCGGATGCTCTACCGGGTACGTTTCAGCCCGAAAGGCAGGTGTAAAAAGATCTGTTTTTACCATAGCGAACGATGAGGACCGGCTGAAAGCATGGCAGCGGTACGTTCCACGTGGTGACAAACTGCTCGACCGAACTGCAGTCCTGTGCGAGTTACACTTCGAGCAATGGTTTATTGTGAGACATTACACCCACATCGTGCATGGTGAAGTTGTGAAGATTCCTCGCGGCCGCCCATGCTTTACTGACGATGCAATACCGTCGATCTTCCCAAACACGCCGAGTTATCTCTCTAAAAAGCTTCCTCAGAAGCGCAGCTCCCGGACATCGAGAGGAGAAGTGCTCGGCAAAAGAAGGAAAGTGAACGATGAAAACAAACTTCCTTCGATGGAGCACGATTCTTCCTTAGATGTGACAACGAACAGTGAACGTGTTCCCGGCGCGTCGTGTACAGTGGAAAAACTGGAGCATATGAAAGGTGAGAAGCTTCCAAGCAAATACTGGTCAATGTGCCTACTTGCGGATGCCCCGAACGCTGTTGCGTTTACTGTTTGTGCTCAAGATGGTGATAGTGTGTGCTTCAAGAAACTGGTGTTGTGCTCTGCTGAGGTATACTTGCTATCATTGTGTAGTGTTTGTGCAAGGGAAAGTTGTAAAAAAAGTGGACGTGTTTGATGTGAATGCTGTGAAAAGCCTCCTCCACTCCATCAACGAGATGGTTGTGTGCTCCGGTTTTGAGTGAGGTGCTATTCCACTGGAGCGGCTTAACAGTTCCAATCAATCAAAATACAGAACGCATGGAAACAAGTTGTACAGCAAAAGTTGCTCAGGCATGTCTCAAAATCAAAGGCCTTGTATACACTGCAGGTATCTAAGGAAACTGCTTTTGAACCAAGCATCCTATAAGAAGAGAAAAGCTAGAGTGGCTACTGGTTACCGTGCTTCGAAGAAACTAATTATGCGGGGAAGACAGTTGAGGCGAGAAAAGGCAAAAGTCAGTGAACTAAAGCAAATGCTTGCGAAAATGAAGCAAAGTAATTCTGCCCTCTCTGAATCAAACCTTCAGGAGAGTCTGTCTAAGCTGCCTGAGAAACAGCGGCAGCAGGTACAAACATGCTTTGAAGCAGCGAAAAGGAAAGGAACACAGGGGATGAAGTACAGCGATGAATGGCTTCTGGACTGCATTATAATGCGAATGAAAAGCCCAAAGCTGTATGAGCATATTCGAAAGCATAAAATAATGGTCTTGCCCAGCAAGAGTTGTTTGAACAAGTACGTGAGAAACTATAAGAGCAACTTTGGGTTCAATGATAATGTTTTTGCTGCCATCGAAGAAAAAACCAAAAGTATAGATGAGTTTCACAGGCACGGAGGTCTCTTAATTGACGAGCTGAAGCTCTCGGAGAGCCTCAAAGTGACAAGCAGTGGACTCATCGAAGGTTTCGTTGACTTGGGCAAGTACACTTCTCTAGATCAAAGCACACAAACGTGTGATCACGGTCTAGTAGTAATGTACCAGCCATTTTCAGGCAACTTTCAGCAAATCTTAGGGGTTTTCGGCTCCCATGGAAATGTCAAGGCAGATGTGCTTGCAAGAATCATTGTCGATGCAACACTAACTGCCGAGAATTCTGGGCTTTTTGTGGATTTTGTGACCACAGATGGTGCATCCTGGAACAGGAGTATGTGGCGACAATTTGGCATCAAGAGTTCTTCAAAGTCAGTTGTTTGCAAAGTGAAGCACCCTGCAGATCACAGCAGAAGTCTGCACTTCTTATCAGACTTTCCGCATCTTGTGAAGTGCGCCCGCAACAGCATTGTGTCGACGGGTCTCCAGGTGCCCGAAGGAAGGGTCAGGAGAGATTTTGTGAAAGAGGCATGGAAGTGTGACAATAGGGACATTGTGCGGCTTAAAGCAATGCCTCGTGTCACAAGAGTCGTCATCGATCCGAACGGATTTGAAAAAATGAAAGTGAACTATGCCTTCACTTTTTTCAGTGATGAGATCGTCAGGGGTTTGTATGCATATAAGGAAGATATCGAGAGAGTATGAGGCGTTGGCTCTAGTGA